AAAAAAGTTGGCTACGAACAAGTATAACACAAAAAATAAATGAATCATGCAAGCCAAAGTAGCCTACTGAAAGTGCTACATAAACGTCATACATCCGTTTCATGTTTCTTCAAGTGTCAAGAGCAAATGAATGGAGAATCTATAATAACGAGCGATTTTTATTTATTTTTTCTTTTTTGTTTTTTGCCCTTAACTTCACCGATTTTTTACAGAGTTCTTTCATCCTTGTTAAAGTAGTAACCTTGACTGTGAATTTCATCTAAATTCCAGTAGTACTTGCCAAGTTATAGACGGATCAAGGATTTGCGGACAAACCGACAGCCAGACACACTAACAAAGAGACCGATGGAAATGAGTAACTTTGTTTTTCATCATGTACATGTCATATAACATCCGAAAAGTTTAGAAATTACTTATGCTGCTTACACCAAGAAGGTTGAAGATTCAATTCGTCATGGTCCGGGTAAGTTTTGGTCATTTTTAAATTCAAAGAATAATCAGTCTAGAATAGCAGGCTATGTCTTTTGAAGCCAACGTTTTTGATACCCCTCAAGCTATTGTTGATGGATTTGCAAAATATTTTTCGAGTGCGTTCACTACCTCAGATCCGTCGACTTTTAGAAATATCACTTCCGAAAATTGACACATATCATTAAATCATATCAGTGAACATGATATCATACAGGCATCAAAAAAATTGAAGAATTAAATAACGTCTGTTTTGATGGTGTACCTAGCTTCTTAGTTAAGGATTGTATTCATATCCTAGCTGAACATCTTTGCTATATATTCAGTTTGATTTTAAAATCTCGTTGTTATCCTAAAACTTGGAAGATCACAAAAATTTGTCCTATATTTAAGAGTGGTGTCAACTCAGATGTAAGTAGTTATCGTCAAATAGCTATTTTATGTAATTTTAGTAAATTGTTTGAGATAATAATTTATAACACAATATTCACCTCCGTAAGATCTCTCATCTCTGAAAATCAACATGGTTTTATGGTTGGCAAATCTACGGTCACAAATTTAGCTTGTTTCACTCAGTTTGCCGCTAGTGCACTTGATTATCAGGGTCAAGTAGATGTGATATACAGAGATATTGCGAAGGCCTTTGATCGGGTTGATCATTATATATTTTTGGCAAAGCTTGAAGCGTTAGGGTTATCAGCCTCTATGTTGACTCTATTACCGTCATACCTTGCTGATAGGTCACTATATGTTGAATTTGGTGGAAGTAAGTCCAAAATTTATACAGCAACATCTGGAGTTCCACAAGGTTCGATCTTAGGACCCTTGTTATTTCTTATTTTCATTAACGATCTGTCTTTGAAGCTAACCTGTATGCACTTGCTTTTTGCTGACGACTTGAAGATATTTTCGCCAATTCACTCTTCGAGTGACTGTGTGGAGATGCAAAGCAAGCTTGACTTCATATATGAATGGTGCAACAGAAATCTGCTAACGTTAAATGTCAAAAAATGCAAAGTGGTGTCGTATAGTCGGAAGCAGGACCCCATCATATACAATTATAACCTTAATGAAAGCGTTTTAGGAAGAGATTCAAGTTTTAAAGACTTGGGAGTAGTGTTCGATAACAAGCTCACTTTTAACGATCACATATCAGATATTGTATCATCTGCATCACGGTTGATGGGTTATTGTGTACGTAACTGGTCCGGTTTATCTAATGTGGACTGTTTAAGAATATTGTATTTTTCATTTATCAGGACTAATAACAACTGTATCAACAAAAAGACAGATGTTAAGCAACTGAGTGTCATTTACTCATATTTGCTAAACTGCGAACTTGCATATCTCCCCAAATTTTGACTCTTCACAACCATAAATGGAATCTGTTTCTTAGTCAATTCCACCAATAAACTTCATTCCACTCAAATTCTAATAATTTTCTCCTCACGATTTAATAATAATTGTTAATTTAATTTCCCATTAATTAAAATATAGTTAGTTCAACTGCCTCTGGTCGGTTTAACAATTTCTTACATAACATTCTGAAAATCACATCATCTGAAGTGATTTGGCAACGTGGCACACGCCCACAATTCGTTCCATCTTTCTACACAGACATTGACAAGCTTCGGCCTTCTGTCAAAGGGTTCATCTCACTCATTATTCCATGACCACCATTTTGTGCAATCATCAAGTGGCTTCACGATGTAATGCTTTCATGTTCTAAAAAATTTTTAATCTGTTTTTAACTTGTTCTTGTCACACATTTGTGTGTATTTTATATAATTTTGACCATTGTACCATCTATCCAGCTTTCACCATGTTACTGGGTGTTTCCCTCATCCTGAACGTAAACAACAATTAGCAACATTCTCAAATACTACTGTAAGTTAAGTCAATTTAAATTCATTTTACACTATTATTGCTACTGTTATCAATATAATTTCAGCTCCTGATGATGATGGCAAAGTCTATTGAAAGCTAGAAAGAATTAAAAAAAGTATAAAGAGTCCTCTTTGCTTAAATTTTGTCGAAGTACCCAACAAAAGGCGGAAGCTTTAATTTTTCACCTAACTGGTCTAGACGACAATGACCACGTCTCAAGTTATACAGGGTGACTTTGAAGTTGAGTCATTAATTTTCAGATAATGATTGTAGAAGGAAGATAAACCAGAATATGTGTGTAAAAATAAAAAAAAAAATAAAAAAAAATGTTTACCTTGTTTTATAAAGTATCCTCCCGACAAGTATTTCAGTGCGGACCTGTATTTGATCGTGAGGTCCCCTGTGAGGTCTTAAGTCACCTGATTCACGAGCCCGTTGTACTACATTAACAAAGGCACGAGGGGTTGGTTGCACTCGATTGGGAAACCGATCCGCATAAACATGTGCCATTTTTTATTTCGTTTGAGCCACGCAACAGACACTATTCACACGCTAACCGACTGACAATGACTGTATGTATAACTGAACTGAATAAAATAATTGAAAAACATCGTTCCAAATTCTTTCGCTTTTTTGTTTCCGATGCGATGAAGCGGTAAGGCGGATTATATCCGTTGTTGCCAAACACGAGTACATGATATTATTATTGAGACAGGGCGGTACTCAAACTTCCAAAGGGCTATAACTTTGTTACTTTAATTTTCCAGAAAAATGGTAAAGGAAAAAAACATTTCTTTTGATCAGATCTACTCACTGTTAAAATAAATGACTCAACTTCGAAGTCACCCTGTATATATATATATATATATGTTTTCGGGGAGGAGACATCACTGAAGAGGAAGCATGGATGAAGGAAGCATTGGCATTTTTATCTGCTGTATCCTTAGACGACATGCTAACGCATAGACACACGCAATGTATGCACCGAATATGAATAGCTACTGCCGGCGTCGGCGTGTCGGCAACTCCCTGAGCCTGAGTTCTATCCTGTCCTAACCAATAGCTATTGCAACGCTTAGGCGGCTGCCGCTTTGCCGCGCTGCATCTTTGTTGTGCCGGGGCGTAAATAAACTACGAATAGGGTATAGCTAGTATTCAGTTCGATAGATGCGTCAGAAAGGACGCAACTGCCAACAGTGGTAAAAATAGTCCGAAAAAATCGTATAAATGCAATCTAATATTTGAAGTGGACATAGTTTGATACAATATTGTTTTCAAGGTACAGGGTGGGCCATTTAAAGTGGAAGCATTTGTTAAATAAAAAAAATACATTAAAAAATATTTTTTGTTATTAATATTTTATTTTGATCCAAGGAGATTTGTTGTAATTACTTTTTGAAAATAATATCGCGCATATGGCCACCTCTAGCCTTGATAACCAAATGTGCCCTTTTTCGGCGTTTTCCATCACGTTGGCCAATATTTCGGCGGATATGGCGGCAATTTCTTGACGAATATTGTTCTTGATGTCGGCTAAAATCCTTGGCTTGTTAGCGTATACCTTGGATTTCAAATAGCGCCACAAATAAAAGTCTGGTGGCGTCAAATCAGGTGATCTCAACATCGCCATTTTTCGATATCAGTCGTCCAGGGAACAATAGTCGCAATAAATTGATTGTTGCTTGAGCTGTGTGGCATGTGGCGCCATCGTGCTGGAACCAGTAATCGTCCATGTCATTTTCACAAACAATTATCCTCAAAAAATTCGATCTCATGGCTCGATAACGTCATTGACGGTTTCCGCAGCTCCATCATCCATACGGTCCGATGACCATATTCGCGCACTTACCGCACCAAACAGTAACTTTTTGGTCATAAAAAGGCTGCTGTTAGATTAATTGAGGGTTTTTGCTAGCATAAAACTGATAATTTTATTTACTTACGCCTCCATGTAACAAAAAATGTGCCTCGTCAGACATGATGATTTTTCGCCAAAGGTCATCTTCATTTTCGGCCATTTCAATGCTCCATTTAGCAAAATCAAAGCGGCATGGATAGTCAGCTGGGTTTGATTGAAGAGCCATTTGAATTTCGTATGGAAGCATCTTCAAATCCTTACGAATTATGCGTCGGAGATTGGTTCGAGCGATGCCTAACTCTTGAGAACGATGACGACCGGATGTTGATGGAGTCTCTTCAACACTGGCTCGTACGGCTTCGATATTTTCACCGGAACGTCTTGTTCGTTGTCTGGATAGGTGACCGGCATTACTAAGACTACTGGTGTTCACAAATTTTGCGTATAAACGTCTGATAGTGTTATCAGCTGGAGCACTTTTAACTTTTTTTACGAAACGCACGTTTAGTTTTCACGATTGAGAAGTTATTTTGAATGTACAATTGAATAATTTCAGCGCATTTTTTTGATGAGTAGGTACTGTTTTATGTTTAAAATTATACTGAAATGACGCTTCCAACACGGTATGACATTAGTCGACCTGACAACTAATGTCAAAAATATAGGGTTGCTTGATGCTTCCACTTTAAATGGCCCGCCTTGTAGTTGATTACCAAAATGGCGAACTACTTTTCGTGATATTCATCTGTTTTAAACAATAAATATATTCGAGTTTTTGAGGTAGCAAGTCACGAATCAGGTGTTAAATTTCAGCGACATAATAGCGGAGTTACCAAAATGAACGCTTAGGAGGATTAATAAAGAATCCGAGTTAAAGAAAAACTCAATAATAATTTTAAACATATTCACTAATCACAGTTTGCAAGATTTCTGAGCATTATGACAACTTTCAAGCAGGGACCGATGTCAGATTTTCACTTCTCAACTCGTGAGTGAAAGTATTCCAGATAATTGGCTTACAATTTTTTATGAGTTAATATTGTTCTCCTCAGGTATCAAGACCTTAGAGATGTTCCCCAAGGCGCATCGCCACCTGCTAGAGGGTTATATGGTATCCTCCTTGAACTTCAGGGAGGGAAGAACGTTGCCGGTGTGATCCCGTCGTGGTATAAATAAATTTGCTCCCTCTTGAGCGAAAACAGCAGGACAAGGTACTTTACATAAGTACTTCGTAATTAAGCCTACTCCGTGCACTGTGTTTCACAATAATTTGACTTTGAGACTTAACGCATGATTATATGGGATTTGGTTAAGTGCTGAGATAAAGGAAAGATTTAACTGCAACCAAGCATTAAGACATCCATAAACTTCATTTGTCGGACATGCAAAGTAAGGAAATGCAATGTCCAGAATATTTTTATTTGAACCACTTCATGAAAGGGTCACGCGTTCAAGCACAAGCACTTTTTTCCGAAATCAAGATTTTCCGTTGCGAGGGGTGTAGCGCTTTGCCAGACCATTCTAGTTCTGAGCGATTGAAGTGTTGGCTTGTCTCCCTACATATTTTGGCAGTCTGAGAGTTTTCAGAATTAAGTGCACAACCAATTGGCAGTCATTCTGCTGGCACTGCAGGTTTTAAGAATACTGTATGGAATTCACTTTTGGCACAAAATGTATATATACCTGTATCACTTACTGTGAAGACCGAATTCGGCTGCTTGTTTGTGCAAATAAAGAGCATGGGAACAGGTTCAAATTTGATTAGTGCTGCCTGGATGCGAGAAACATATGCTACCCGTGACTGGGAAAGTGCGTAATAGGGTTAGCAAAGCGAGTGCCATCTCTCGAACAGACATAAGGAATCTGACAGTCACAGCCACATTTACATAACGTCGATACAGACCTCGAAAGGGATGCCAACAATTTTCCCAGAAATTAGATCTTTTTGGCGGCGGATGGTCTTTGTACGGTGGAGCGAAACCCTTTTTTTGCTGCTGAAAAAGCTAATCACGGCGATCATAGGTACTTGACTGCCTTATCGTCGCGTCCTGGCATGTAATAATTGCATCACAGATACAGAGATGGATCTAGGAAAAAATTATGTCAAAAAACGAATTTTGAGCGATATTTATTTTGTCGCTTTTTTCGTTCTTCCCCGCCGCCACTGGGCCGATTGTCAAAAACTAAGCTCTTTTGTCCCTAGCATAGTAGTAGCCTTATGTGGACGTATTACCGAATAGTAGTTTCCAAGTTATAGACTGGCCAAGGATTCGCGAACCGATAGACAGACAGACCGATAAGAACGACAGATCAACAAATCAACAGGCAGACCGATGGATATATACGAAAAAACATAATATCTAACTAACCACTGAGTGAGCCTATTATTTATTAGTGGTCTATATACTTTGCTCGTATCCCTAGCATTAGTCAATTATTTACAAAAAATTTGCAACTTTTATTACAGTTATCCTCCCTGATGGATAGACACTGGAAATGTTTGTACATGTCAGACATAATTTCAGCATAAGTCAGGTACCAAAAGCAACATAATGGCCCACAATTCTTTTATGCATTGGTGGATGACTTACTGTCGAAATATTCATTTATAATTGAATAGATTTATGTGGGATGGATGGCGAATGACAGAGGTGTTAGAAATATCAACTGTCGGTTCTTGCATCATTCATTAAAACCATGCAAATACCACCAAAAAGTTAATATTGGTAAGAATTACAAAGGATCATATCAGAAGTTAACACAAATCTTATAAAAGTCTGTCGTGAAATAATGACATTTTCATCAATTTGAAACGACGTAAGGCTTATAATTTTTCCTCGCTGATCCTTGTAAAAAAGCGTTTTATCGTTGATCACTATACCAAGTAATTGATTTTCAAAATTTTTCTTAAAATATGCGCCTATATAGTCACGAACTTGAATGTCAAATTTATTGTTGTCAGGGGGCTACAGCTTCAATTTTCAGTTAGTTCTAGGGCATTCGATCACTAGATGTCGGAGCATAAAATATGACAGCAAAAGCGCCATATGTGCCTATTGAGAATAATTTCAAAAATGGGCTCAATGTTTTCTACCTATATTCGGAAGCATAAAAATACTTTAATACCACCATGTGCATAAAGCTGCTAGAAGAGGTGCCTCTGGCCGGCTTCTACAAATGTACGAGCCCCTTCCCACTTCAGGTGGCCCACTTCAAGATTTGTACCAAAATATGCCTTTATAGACTAAACATGATGAAACTATTTGCTTCTAAAACAATTTATTTTCTCAAAAACATTTTAGATACACTCTAGTCGTAAAAAATACATATTTATCACTTAGACCTATAACTAATAGAACATCTGAACAAATAAACAATGTGCGAATAAATGCGCGAAGTTAACAAAGCAATAATTGAAAGATTACCATTGGCTAACATCATTTTTATTTTTTATTACGGGTGAAATTCTTTGGGGCATAGTCTTAACCAAATTTTGGCAAAAATTTGGTGTAAAACAGTCCCACATTTCTTGAAGCTTTTTTCTGTTCGGTGATTGTACGAGCAGGATGTTGTCGTAGAACCTTTTTCATCTCGTGCAACAAAGTTTCAATAGGTGACAGATCTGGACTGCTAGAAACCCATTTCAAAAGTGGTACATTATTTTCTTCCATCCATTTTATAGCCTTTTTGAGGTATGGCACACTGCACCATCTTGCTGAAACACAAAATCTTGGCCGGATGTCAAACATTCTTCCATCACTGGTAAAAGCGATTCTTCTAAAATTGCCAAATATTTGTTTGTATCCACATTCCCATCAATAAAATAAAATAAAATAAAGTTTTCGTACTCGTTTTGATGACATACTGCCCAGACCATAATGGATGCTGGAAATTTCACTTTTCTCTTCAGACAGTCCAGATGGAGTGCTTCATTTTTTTGCTACCACAAACTTCGAATCGGGCCTCATCACTCCATTGTATTGCACACCATTGTTGAGGTGTCCATTGTCTATATTCTTTAGCCCATCTAAGCCGAATTTTCTTTTGCAGTGGAGTTAATAGTAGCTTTTCTTTGGCCTATAAACAAGTTGTGCAACTTTAGGGTTTTTACTTCACTTTTTTTTATAAGAAAACTTACCTTGCAAGTGCTAAATCCCAGTTTGTGGGCCTCTCTATGAGTTGTGGACCTCGAAATTCTCCTTCCAACAGCGTCACTCCACAGAGCATTTAATTTTAAATAATTGACATGCCTGTTTTTCACGATTATTCTTCTTAATGCTCTTCGGTCGGCATTTGTCATATTACTTTTTTTCACATATCGTGGCTTAATATTAAATGAACCAGTTACGTTATATCTTCTAACAATATTTCTCACACTGTACCGCGATAAGCCTAACAAAGTTGCAATTTTTGAGTTTGATTTCCCAGAATTAAAAAATTTAATTATCAGTAACCGAATTTTCTCACTAATAACCTTTCCTCTACCCATTTTAAAATCCTTAACTACCCAAAACTATTTTAAACGTATTCTGACAGCTGTGATTAATAAAAACAATTGTCATGGCTTTTATTTTTCACAGCCACCTATGCGTTATAGACTTATTTTGCATTGAAGTGAAAATAGGTTGATATGCTGTAATTGCAACATGTGTTATTTTTATGCTGCAAATTTGATTAGGGAGTGATAAAGTTGGTGTTTTCTACTATATATTATCAAAATATTCATTGTTAATATTTTAAACCTATAACACTTTGCTACATTTTTATTATTTGTGTTTGATAAGAAAAAACTAAGATTTCAATAGTTGGGCCAACTGAAGTGGGAAGGGGCTCGTATATTCGAACATAGTATCAAGTGTGTAAAGCTATGCAGTGTAGACTCTCCTATGACGCACAGACTTTATAATTTTTGAGGTACACTGACAATATTTATTTATATTTAAAAAACTTCAGTAAGTCGGGGTCTCCGGATATTTTAGATAAGGACGAATTTAAATTTCAAAATGACAATTATCTTTTGATACCAAGCTAAATTGTGTAATATCCCGCGTAGGATATGACAAGATAATTTAGAACATAAAAGTGAGCGGTCTATGGTGACGAAGGCTTTTGAGACATCTAACAAAATGAGAGAAGTAGCTTTACCATCAGTCTTGTTCTCTGACAATGTCATCCGTGTGCAGTACTATTACCCGCTCTAAATTCCGATTGGCATTCAGGGAGAATACTATTGGCCATAAGACATATTTGAGTTTTAGCAGCTTTCTTTAAAATTTTAGAAAATATAGGTGTACGGGCGATTTGCCTAAGATCTGAAAACTTTTGAAGTTCACTAACTTTCAGCAAAGGTTTCAATATAGAAAGTTTCAATGCACTTGGAAATTACCCAACTTCTAAACTGCAGTTAATGAGATGAGTGATTGGTAATTCTAAATTCGGAGGCAAAGCTTGAGCTATCAACTGAGATGTAGTCACTACCACCTGCATTCGATTTAATGGACATCAAAATGCCAATTGCAGCCTGTTCGGATACAGGTCTCAACTCAAAACGACAATTTTAATTGTATATCGAGGACTTAAAAGCAGCAGCTGTATCAGGAGGAGCAAACATAGATGAAAAGTAATTATTGATAGCGTTAACATCTTTCACATAGTCTGAAATGTTTATTCTGGTATTAGAATTGATGGCCTTCCAGAGATCAATAGTATTCGACTGCGAGGCATGGAAGGACAATAAACCACGTTTCTCTTGCCGAACTGGATTAAGAACATTGTTTCTCAAATCACGGTAATGAGACAGGTCTTTTATGTTACCCGTTTGTTTGTAGGTATAAAGCACCGCATCGCGTTTTTCTATCAAACGTCTAACATCTGGCGTCAACCATGGAACATAAAGCTTAGTAAAACGTGCCAATTTCATTGAAGCATGTATTTCAGAGATATTTATTATGTTTGTTGTTAAAAAAATGTTTTTTGTCTTCTGTATTCTTCTTATAGTAAATTTGACTCCACTCAATTGATCTATATTAATATCACCAAGCAAACAGATATAATAATAATAATAATAATAATAAGAATAAAGGGTCTTTATTGCACTAAACATTTAGTACATTAACTATGGTACATACATTTAAATCGGTTTGTTTTAAACCAACAAAACTGTGATCAAAGGGATTTTTTTTAAAATCAACCATCATTAACCAATAAAAAA